TGTTCTTAAGAACAAAACCATCCCCAGAACTCTTAACAGCAGAAGATTTTAAACCCAGGTGCCACGGAAGAATAGAAATACTGATTTTTTTTTTTTTTTTTCCCTGCAGTGATTCTATAATCATCTTAGAAACAAAAAAACTTTGCCCTTACTAGGTCTCCAATTAGAAAGCCTCTTTCTCCTAAGGTCACTTCTTAATTCAGGAGTTTGAGCTTATCCTCATTTGTTCCTCCTATCTGTGTGGATCCCCACAGCATAGAGAGTAAAGTTCAATCTCCCTCACAGTGTGGCTTAGGGGAGGCATGCACACTTTGGAATCAAACAAGCTTAGGTCAATATCCCAACCCAGTCATATACCCAGATTTTACACCAGCTATTCAACCTCTCTGACCCTTTCTCTGCTCAGCTGAAAAAATGAGAGAACCCAATAGTGTTGTGAAGGTTAGAAATCATCTGGCATAAAAAACAATTCTGACTCATGGTAACCCCAAGCATGTCTGTCAGGGTAGAAAACTGTGCTCCACAGGGTTTTCAGTGGCTGATTTTTCAGAAGTAGATTGCCAGGCCTTCTTCTGAGGTGACTCAGGGTGGACTCAGGAGTCCAATTGTTCTGTTAGCAGCCAAGTGGTGAACCATTTGTACCACGCAGGGACTCCTACCTGGTGTACTGTTGTTAGATGTCATCAAGTCAATTCCAGCTCACGGCAACTTGGCATAGAGGCACTCAAAAACACTGCAGTTCTCATATTATAGTCTAGAGGCCAGTGGGGATACCTGAAACCCTTTTGGGGGTTCATGACAAAACTATCTTTGTAATAAAAGTAGGATGTTGTTTTGCTGTTTTTCCCTCTCATTCTCTCATGAGTGTACAGTGGATTTCTTCAGAGGTTAGTTAACACATAACATTGCAACAGACTGAGTGCGGAAGCTATGAGAATCCAGCTGCCTTCTACTAAGCCAGGCCTAAATGGGATTTGAAAAAAGTAAAAACAATGCCATACTTCTCACTAATATTTTTAAGGCAAACATAGTTTGCTTTTTTTTTTTTTTTAATAGAAATGTGTTATTTATGTTAATACACAGTGGGTACAGAATTGCTGTTTTTAAATGAATAAATATTTTAAAATTTTAATTTCTAGTATGATAAATATCAATAGATAAAACCCACATTAACTAAAGCTTTTTGGAGTAAGAGTATAAAAAGGAGCCTGGAACCAGAAAGAGCTGAGAATTTCCAAGGCGGTATCACTACGGAAGTAGATTGCCCAACCTTCCTTTTGAGGAGTAGCTGATGGGTTTGAACCGCCAGCCTTCTGGTTAGCAGTCAAATGCCATAGGCACTAAGCCCAGAACTCCTGAGAATTGTTGCAGTACAGAGTTATTACCAGAGAGACATTGAGTGCCCTCCATGATCCACTCTTGCAACTCTCCATTAGACCCGGGGGTCCAAAGGTCTCTAATTCACCAAGAACCTTTATCTGTTGCCCCAACACTGTCTGGAAATGGCTAGATGAACCCCTTTCCTGAGGCTAGACTGGTGCTCACAGTGTAGCACCAGAACCAACATCAGCATCATGGGGAGTTTATTGGAAATGCAAATGCTTTGGCCCCACCAAAGGTGGAGGTGGGGCCCAGGAGTCTGTGTTTCCACAAGCCCTTTGGGTGATGGTGATGCATACTGGAGTTTGAGGATCACTGGGCTAGAGAATCACAAAAATTGTTCAAGAGGCACAGAACACGAGCTGTCAAAGTTGGGAGGACCTCAGGAGCACTAAATATACATAACACCTGGAGGATCTTGTTAAAATGCTGACTCTAGTTTGGTAGATCTGGAAGGGGGCCTTCAGTCTGCATTTCTAACAAACTCCCAGGTGATGTTGAGGCTGCTGGTCCCTGGACCACAAGTAAAACAGTGAGGTCATGCAGTCCAGCAGCTCTTAGACTTTAATTATTAAGGCTCTGATGAAAGTTATAGACTTTTTCCTTGCAAAACTGCATGCATACACTAAATTTGATGGACAATTTGTAGATGTTCACAGACCTCCTGAAACTCACCTTCAGGATCCCTAAATCTTTAGGAACATTCTCTCTCACGTCTCATGGTATTTATCTCTGCGCTATTTATTTTAAGCAAGTGTAATATGCATTTTCAGCCTTTTACAACCCCAGGCTAGAATGCCCTTTCCTCTTATATCCACCCGCCCAAATTCTTCTTGTCTTCCAGCTCAAATGTCCTTTCCTTTGGTAAATATTAATTGGTAGTTTCTTCTGGCCTCCCACATTGTACCTCCATTATGAGCTCCTTCAGGCTGCCTTATTCTTTAGTTATTTGTTACCTTCCAGTCCTCCCAAGATTTTTAAGCTCTTAGAGGTCATACTCATCTCTGTTTCTCCTACAGAAGCTAGCAATACCAGAAGGTACATAAATACTTGCTTAATTCATTAATATTAATTCTTCACAAGGCAAATTACTGTTTATAATGGTCAATTTCTCACTCCAATTACGGGGCATCTCTGTTTTCAGCATATAAGGCTTTCTTATGAATGTTAAATTAAAAAGGATGAGAAAGAGAAAAAAGGAAAAAGAAGTGGAAAACAAAAAAGTGTCCCTGCAACTCTATGTCCTCCCTCTGTATTTTCCATAGGCTACAGTGCAGCATTTAGGGCTGAGTAGAGGGGCCTGTCCACTCAAGGAAGGGTGATCTAGATTAGAGGAGCAGGTAGAATGTGAGAACTAATTATGAAACAAGGGGCATTCAAGGTGATGGAAGGACCTGGTGGGGTGGGGTCCACTGGAGAGAGGAAGCTCTGGGTACTCAGGGGGTAATGGGAGGGGGCTGAACTTTCAGGGTTGAGGTCGAAGCAGAGATAGACGAGAAAGGGCAAGAGAGGAGGTGAAAGGTGCCCAAAGACCAGCCTCAAAATTTTGCGTAGGGCTCTCTTCCCTCCTTAGTTTCCAAAGAAGCTGCCACCTAAGGACCTATGTTGATGTTAGCTGCTGTCCAGTGAGCTGCTGACTCCTGGTGACCCCATGCAAAAAGGAACAAAACGCTGCCTGGCCCTACGTCATCCCCACAGTTGGTTACAGACAGGACCCACTGTGATCCACGGCATTTTCATTAGCTAATTTTTGGAAGCAGATCACCAGGCCTTTCTTCCCAGTCTGTCTTAATCTAGACACTCCACTGAAACATGTTCAGCATCATAGCAACACATGAGTTTTCACTGACAGATGGGTGGTGGCTGTGCATGAGGTGAATGGGCTGGAACTGAACCTGGGTCTTCTGCATGGAAAGCAAGAATTCTACCACTGAACCACCACTGACCCCTTAAAGGCCTAAAACAACATTTTCTTTCTTTCTCCACCACCACATATTTCACTAGAGTTATACGTGCGTGAAGCAATCAACCCTGGAAAGGGCAATAATCAGTAAATCATCTTAGAATGGGATTCCAACATCTAGTCCATCTGAAATAACTTTCATGGGGCCATTTGTGACTAGGTGACGAACTTAGAATGATTCTTTGGCATCAAGTACAAACTTCAGCTCATTTCCAACCCCCTGCACAAAGAACTCTAACCCTGTCCCACCTGCCCAGGTCCCACTCCAAGAGGCCAGCTTCTGACAGTCTCCACTCTTCTCATCCTGTTCCCACCTTGCCCACCATCTTCCTGTTCCCTCCCACTAGGGGCACTGACCCTTTTCCTTCACTCATCTACTCACACCCATTCTTTAAGTTCAAGACTGTCTCAAAACAATTGGAGACAGTTGAATTCACTTAAACCAAAGGAAGCACGCAGCTCCCCATAAAGTGACAGGACCAGGTCTTGGCCTCAGTTTGGAGGGTGAGATGTTGAGTTTCTTTTCCTAATGTTGCTGGAGGCTTCTGGTGCCTGACTGACTGATGCAGGTTATTGCCTGCATCAAAAAGTTACTCTTACACAAAGGAGAGTCACTTGTTGAAGCTGTGATGGCTATGATTCTTGCTGGTAATGGTGTATCCTCAGAGGAGAAGAAGGGAAAGGTTAAGGCAAAGGATGGGTGAGAGATGTGGAGAGATGTTCTTATGCTCTTTATCAATCAACTGATCCATTCTTCTCCTGTTGGGAGTATCTTCTCCTGTTAAGGAAGTATCTTTTATTCTTTCTGAAATTACCCAGTTGAAGCTGGACATTGGGGTCAAGAGCCTATAGACAGATGAGTAGCAGGCATTGTCATGGAAAAGGGCAGCTGCAGGAGCACCCAGGCCAGGTGAAGTGGCCTCAGCTTTGAGTTCACAACTCTGCCATTAAAAAGTGGTAGCAACTCCCCATCACAGATAATCACCCAAGGACCTGGGGGCATCTTTGAAAGGCACGTTTAGCTCGGTGGCATGTGGGGCAATACCTTAGGGGCCTGGTGCTCTCTGTAATCTCAAACCTCACTTCTCAGTAATCAGGCATATGGCATAGTGCCTAAGGCATCTGACTGCTAACCAGAAGGCTAGGGGTTCAAACCCACCAGCCACTCCTCAGAAGGAAGATTGGGCAATCTACTTCCGTAGTGATACTGCCTCAGAAGCCCAAGGAGGGGTCACTATGAATTGAATCGACTCAACAGCAGTTAGTTTTTTTAAAAAGGTCCCTGCTGAGATGGCAGGTGCAGTCACCAAGAGAGGTGGGGCTTCACTAGCCTCTCAGCCAGAGACATTCTGTGGAAGGCAAGAGAGAGGAGCTCCAAACTAGCTCTTATCCTCCACTCCACAGTTCAGGAGAAGCAGAAAAATCCAGTGCACCCTCACCCCACCCCAAACACACACAAAGAAAAGTGTACCATCACCTGGAAAGGAGCAACTGAGATGAGAAACCAGTTTTGCCTGAGCCAACTTGTAAAATCATTTCTGACTAACGGCACAGAAAATTAAAGGGGACAGAGACAAGTAAAACAAATAGGGAGTAGAGAAAGGAAACAAAAATGATGACATTGCTGGTATCCTGGCTTTCAACTCCACAAACTTACTGGTTCTTGGAAGTACAGTTGATAATCAAAAAGAGGATTGGCTTTGACCTTCTCCATTAGGGTCACTTTGGGATCCATTGGCATGAAGGGAGTATTCAAACTGGCCACGGCCCTAGGAAATAGAAGATACCAAGATTCAGACTCTATAAGAACCAGAAAGGACTTTACATGTTGAAACTGAAGCTCAGATCGGGTAAATATATTAGAAAAAGCTAAACCAGTGTCTCCTTTTGGGAGCAAAATCTTTTTTGAGTTGATTTGTGCCTTCTAAAAAGATAAATTTAAGTCCTAATCTCCAGTATCTATGAATGTGAACTTGTTTGGAAAAAGCATCTTTGGAGATGTAATCCGTTAATGTGAGATCACACTGTAGCAGGATGGACCCTAATTCACTATCACTGGTGTCCTTACAAAAAAAAAAGAAGAAAAGAAACAGAGACACACAGGAAGAACTCCAAGTGATCACAGAGGCAGAGACTGGAATGAACCATCTACAAGCCAAGGGACGCTTGGGGCTACCAGAAGCTGGAAGAGGCAAGGAAGGATCCTGCCCTAGAGCCGTCAGAGAGAGTGTGGCCCTGCCAGCACCTTGATTTTAGATGTCTGGTCTCCAGAACTGTGAGCTGATACATTTCTCTTGTTTTAAACCACACAGTTGTGGTAGCCCTAGGAAACTAATACAGTCTCCACCTGACTGGCAAAGAAAGGATGTAAAAGGGCATTATTACCAAACAGGTCAAAGACCCAGAAATTAAATAGGTATGGAGCAACACTCACAAGTTGTCTCAGTAAAAAGCCAAAACCAAAGATTCAAATAAATGTTCCACAAAAAGGTGGACTTCTCCCCCGACTCATTACCAGATTAAAGCATAGCAACAAGTGAGAATGGTGCAGGATTGGACAGTGTTTCATTCTGTTGTACATCAAGTCACTATGAGTCAAAGCTGACTCTAACAAAGGCACTAACAACCACTAGGCTGGAAATAAGAAGATCAATGTTGTCTTATGTCCAATGTCAACAACATTCTCTTAAATAACAGCTTTTCCCAGGCCCAGAAATGCTATGGCCCACCTCTCTAGTACCCTGCAAGAAGGTCTTGGCTTCTTCCCTCCCACCCAGTATTGCAGTAATACACTCCAGGACTAATGATAAACATGACAAAAATGGCCAGAATAAGAGGTTTGAAACCAGACCATGTTTGGGAGTTTGGATCTGTGTTACTTTGAACAAAACTTCATCTGATATTATAAAAGTGGTATGGGTGATTTCAGACCCTACTTTGCTCATGTTAAATGTTTTTTAATTTCTCATAGGAGAGGGAGATTAAGTTCAATAAAACAATAAGAAGGTGTTTTGGGGCTTCCTTGAATGTAGCGACCATATGCTTGTCGTTGTATTTCCATTTGTTTGCATCAGGAAACAGTCTCACAGAGTAACTTTTCAATAAAACCTGGTCTTAAGAACCAAGCTCTAATTTCTACTTTGAATGAGAGGATGGAGAAAAGCCAGAATCAGAATAGTGTCAAAACTCTAAAACTATTTCAGGAAACATTCAATTATTTTTATTCTTTGATATAATTCCAATATTTGTGTTCATGTTGAGCTTTTATGGTTTCATTCTCATAAACATACTGGGGAGAAAAAAAAAAGGTTTGGTTAGTTAGGGAAATAGAGATGGCTGCTATGGGTGATAGTTACTTAATTTTTTTAAGATATGGCCAAGGGAGGTGTGACAGGTTTTAACTTCAGCTTGCCAGATCAAATAGGGTGTGGCCACAAAACCTGCCCAACTCTGGGTTCAAAACCTGTCATCTGAAAGCTTCTGGTGTCTTGAAATGTCACTCTAACAACTATGACTGACATGAGAGTGATGCTGAAATGCCATTCTAATCTTACATTTGCACGGCATTTCAAAGGTGGTAACCATAGCCTAGGAGTCCCTCGGTGGTACAAATGGTTAAATGCTCAGCTACTAACCAAAAGGTTGGTGGATCAAATCCACCCAAAGGCCCCTTGGAGGACAGACTTAGTGATCTACTTCCAAACGGTCAGAGTCTCGAGAACCCTATGGAGTGCAGTTCTACTTTGACACACATGGGGTCACCACAAGTCAGACAATTCGGTGACAACTAGTTTTTTGTTTTTTAAAAACAAAAGCCTAAGAGGTGAGATGATTTGTTACAGTCAGTTCAGAGAAAACAAAAGGATACATTTTTAAGCTCCCAGCTCTAGGCTGGTCTCTCTTGGTGCTCCATGAATCTGACACTCTGCTGCCTTACCCACTCCCCCTCGAAGTCAACTATTCTCCTGAGTTTCCAGTGGCTCCTCAGGCTCCTAACTATCCTATTAGCATCAGGACAGGGCTTGCTTCCTAAGACATTAGCTCACTAAACTCTCCTTGTTAATATGTCAATAGGCATTAAGGAACTAATGCTTTACCTTCCTAGACACTTACTTGTGTTGAAGAAGTTTTCTGGGGTTAAAGGCATGTGGAACAATTCTCATGGGACTCCAGGCCTCTGTTCCCAGGCTAGTCTTACCCAAATTAATTTGTTGCTAGTGGCCTAATTACCTCACTCTCTCAGGGTAGAAGAGAGCTAAATACCACACCAGCATGCCTCCCCAGTCGTGGCCAATGAACACTGCTTGAGAGATACCCTGGGGAAAAATAAAAAAGAGAACCAAGTGGGGGCAGGTTTCTGGGATATGAGCTGAGATTCTGAGGCCTCTTTTCCCATTAGTCTCCTCCCTCAGTGGCCATCTATCCTTTCATCTGTTTCCTAGAGCTTCCTTCCCCAACTCATAGGCGCTATCCCAAAGTCCACTCTCTTCAAGCCTCTGTTCCCAAGTATCACTACCCCTCACCCTCACCCACTCTAAACAAATGATGTGTCTGTACTTTTCTTACGAGACTAAGGCCACCAGCCATGAGCTCTCTCTTCCCATCTACCTTTCCTCAAATCAAAATTTGCTTCGCTTCTTTTTCTCCTTTCTGTCTTAAAGGAAGTTCCACTTGCCTTCTCATAATCCCTACATTATGGATTAAATTGTGTCCCTAAAAATTGTGTGTTATAAATCCTAACTCCTATACCTGTACTTAGGAGCTCTGGTAGCATAGTGGCTAAGGCACTTGACCGCTAACCAGAAGGCTGGCGGTTCAAACCCACCAGCCACTCCTCGGAAGGAAGATGGGGCAATCTACTTCCGTAGTGATACTGCCTCGGAAACCCAAGAAGGGGTCGCTATGAGTCGGGGCCGACTCGATGGCACATAACAACAACAACAACATACCTGTACTTGGGAGCTCTGGTGGTGTAATGCCTAAGGCATCTGACTGCTAACCAGAAGCCTGGCATTTCAAACCCACCACCAGCCACCCCTCGGAAGGAAGATTGGGCAATCTACTTCCGTAGTGATATTGCCTTGGAAACCCAAGGAGGGGTTGCTATGAGTAGGATCTGACTTAACGACAGTGAGTTTGTTTTCTTTTTGGTTATACTTGTGGTTATAATCTCATTTGGGAATGGGTTTTTTTTTGTTATACCAATGAGACAGTATTAGTGTAAGGTGTGTCTTAAATCAATCTCTTTTGAGATATAAAAGAACAGATTAGGCAAGCAAGCAAATACTAACAGAGGGGAGGATACATCCCATGTGATCACCAAGGAATAGAAGCTAAAAAGAGACAAGGACCTCTCCCCAGATCTGACAAAGAGATAAAGCCCTCCCCTAGAGCCAGTGCCCTGAATTTGAACTTCTAGGTTCCTAAACTATGAGAAAGTAAATTTCTGTTTATTAAAGCCACCCACCTACAGTATTTCTATTATAGCAATACCAGATAACCAAGACACCAAGTTAATCTTTCTTTAAGTGATTATGATTCTACCCCCCTCCACTCTTGGAAGTTTCCTACCTTAACAAAAACATAGTTAATTTCTCCCTTTCCACTTGCACCTTCTGCTGTCAATGACAATAACTTGTCTGGCAGTTCAAACCCACTAACCACTCTTCACAAGGAAGATTGGGCAATCTACTTCTGTAGAAATGTTGTTGTTGTTGTTATGTGCCGTCAAGTCGGACCTGACTCATAGCGACCCCTCCTTGGGTTTCTGAGGCAGTATCACTACGGAAGTAGATTGCCCAACCTTTCTTCCCAGGAGTGGTTGGTGGGTTTGAACCTCCAGCCTTCTGGTTAGCAGTCAAGTGCCTTAGGCACTACGCTACCTTGGAAACCCAAGGTGGGGACACTATGAGTCGGAAATGACTTGATGGCAGTGAGTTTCATTTGTTTTTTTTTTGGTTCTGGTGGTGTAATGGATAAGGCATTTGACTGCTAACCAGAAGGTCAGTGGTTCAAACCCACAAGCTGCTCTGTGGAAGGAAGACTGGGCGATCTACTTCCGTAAAGATTTACAGCCTTAGAAACCCAATGAGGGTAGGTATGAGTCGGAAACGACTCAATGGCAGTGAGTTTGTTTTTTTTTGGTTTACTATGTCCCAGGCACTGTCTAAGTGTTTACATCCATTATCTGGAGTTTTGTCAGTACGGTCCAACACCCATTTTACAAATAAGACAGGCTCACGGTGGTTAGGTGACTTGCCCAAGGTCACACAGACGGTAAGTGCTGGAGCCACCACAATTCAGAGCCAGGTCTCTCCAACCTAAAATTGGGCTTTGTCCTCTACCCCATGCTGCATCCATTCAGCCACATAAGGGGCTTTCAGATCTTCCCCTGCTTCATCACCATACTGAAAAGTGGTTCCTTGCCTCAGCTCCCTGCCATACTCTTGTCTCTGTCTTCTCAAACTTCCCACCATGGTCTATAGTAGTTGCCTCTCAGCTACTTTTCTAAGTCCCTGCAGCTTGGCTTCTTCCCTGCTACTCCTTTTAAAGGTTATTATCACCAAGAATAGTTCTTCTCAGTCCTAATCTTTCTGACAGCTCTGCAGCATTGATCCCTTCCTTTCAAACTTTCTTCCCTTGGCTTCTGTGATCCTATACTCTTCAGACTTTTCTCTGACTTCACTGGGTCTACATCTTCCTCTACCTCCTAAAAGGTAATATTGCACATCACAGCCCTTAGGCCTCTACGCTCTGTGAACATTGTTCTTGGAGGACTCATTCACTCCAATGGCTTCAACTATCACCTCCAGCTGGAAGATGACCCCTAATCTGAAGTTTTCCCTGTTCTTTCCTATGTGTCCCATGAATGACACATCTGGCCAACAACCACACAGAATCTCTTTCAACAACTGGAACAAAAGACTATTCTCAGCCAGCTGGAAGTGTTTTAGATAAAAGTCATAGAGAGTCAGGGCCGGGGCAGCCACACTGAGTCATGCATGTCCTTTTAAATGCCCCCACCACACCCCAAACCAATTCTATGACACTGAGAATCTCTACAGGACAGGGACCATGCCATCCTCATCTCATCTCCTATAGTGGCTGTCAAAGAGCTTTACTCTTGAATTGAAGCTCATTTGTCATCTCAGATTCTTCTCTCAACTCCTACATCTAATCCAAACCAAAAAAACAAAACAAAACAAAAATAAACAGTGCCACTGAGTCAATTCTGACTCATAGCAACCCCTACTTATTTTCCAAGGTTATAAATCTTTACAGAAGTAGATTGTCCCATCTTCCTTCCATGAAGCAGCTGGTGGGTTTGAACTGCCAATCTTCTGGTTAGTAACCAATCAGTAGACACTAAATCGTGCTTCTCTGTGGGTCTTTTTTATCTACCCCCCCGCCACTGGCAGTGTCCATCTTCCCGTCAAGCCATTCTGCAGTGCTTTCATTCTGGCTGCATGGCCTAAGGTGGAGAGTAGGAGGAGCGTGTTAGACAGTTGAAATCTCCGGAATATTATGTGAACTTTAAGAAAGAATACTATCAAATCACTGTGGCTTGATTTGTTTCATTTGTCACAAGTGATTCTGACATTCCAAATAACATTAACAACATCAGAGTTTAGATTTATCAAAAGGGATGAAAGTTTTAAAAGGTAGATGGCAAATGCACAGAGATCAGAATTTATTAGTGGTCACTGGGGATGGGAGGGAGGGGGAAAGGGGGAATCATTGTCTAGGAAGCACTGACTGTCTATTGATAGTGATGGGAAATTTGGCAACAATTATTGGTGATGGTTGCACAATATGATTGTTGTAACTGGTCTCATTGAACTGTACATATGAAAAATGTTGAACGGGCACATGCTGTGTTATCTATTTTTACAACAATTAAAATCTAGGATTCTTCCAAATTTTTCTTGATTTGCAAGGCCCTCCATCCTGGCACAAAGCCAGCAAAGGTACCTACTACTGCTATTCCCTGGAATGTGCTCTTCATTAACAACAACAACCAAAATAAAACCCAAACTCACTGCCATAGAGTTAGATCTGACTCATAGTGACTACTCCTTGGGTTTCTGAGGCAGTATCACTATGGAAATAGATTGCCCCATCTTCCTTCTGAGGAGTGGCTGGTGGGTTTGAACTGCCAGCCTTCTGGTTAGCAGCCAAATGCTTCAGGCATATAACAGACAAACAAAAACACCTGTTCCCTACCACTCCTTAGAAGCTCTGGTAGCATAGTGCCTAAGGCAATCTACTTCCGTAGTGATACTGCCTTGGCAACCCAAGGAGGGGTCGCTGAGTCGGGGCGCGACTCAATGGCACATAACAACAACAACAACAACACTCCTTATTCTTTGCCATCTCTGTTGCTGAAATTCCTCCTACCAATTACCCCCACACTGCTCCGAGGGTGCCCTGCCCTGCCCTTGCTCCCTCTCTCCTAGGTCTCTCACAGCTCATACCTTCAAAGAAGGCTGAAATCACTTCCTTCATTACCCATGCCCAAATAGAATTCTCCAAAGAGATCAGTTAAAAACTGGGAATTACTTACCAACTTATCCAGGAAGGTTATCATCTCCTAAGAAAGAAAGAAAATAAAAATCAGAACTTAAATACACTTCTCAGATGCATCTAGATCAGAGAGACAGCTTGCCTTCAATTATTTCACTACCCTTTTCATCACCCTTTGTTTTCCAGCAACCTCTGCATAACCAGGTGGACTCCAAACATGTGCAGTGACTTATTTAGTCTATGTTAGTACACATCTCTAAGTGGGCTTCTCCATTGTAAGAGCTAAAGCTCCTCTAGGACAATAATCATGGCTTCTTCTCTAGAGTCCCTCGTTGGGGCAAATGGTTAACATGCTCAGCTGCTAATGGGAAAGTTAAAGCTTCAAGTCCACCGTGAGGCACTTCAGAAGACCTGGTGGACTACTTCCAAAAAATCAACCACTGAAAACACTATGGAGCTCAATTCTATCGTAACACACAAACATGGGGTTGCCATGAATCAGAATCGACTAGACAGCAACTGGTTTTGTCCTCCCCACCCGAGGAGTGGGGAAGAGGAAGAAAACTGATCTGGAGAGGTTTGCTGCTTGCCCCACATAGATGGCTGCTCCAGGGATGGACACCTTGCCATACTGTCCAGCATCCAGAGTGTTAAGAGATGTGCGGCGGTTCAGGCAATGAAGGGTTATGGAGAGTCAGAGCTGGGGCCATATGCAAAATGAGCAAGCTAGGCGTGGGGTTGAAGAAAGAATGAATCTGAGACCTGACAGGCCATTCAGCACCTGCAGGAAGAAATCGCCTCCACAACTGGCTTTATCTTTCCCAGGCCCACTCTTCTAACTTGGCAAAACCCTTCTGTTTTACCTGAGCCAATGTAAGGGGCCTGTGTTTGTTACAATGAAAAGTGTCTAATAAAACTGCATTTATCGACCCCTTACTCTGCTGTGGGTACTGTGCAATCCACCTCACATTCATTGTATCATTTCAGTCTCATAAGAGGCTGTGGGTAAAGAGTGGTATATCCATGCTGCAGATGAGAAAATTGAGAATCAGAAGGGTTAGATTATGTGGCCAAGGTCACACAGCTAGTAATGGCAGAACTGAGATTGATTTCAGGTCTATTTGATTTCAAAACTTCAAAATAAAATACTCAAAATGTTTCTTTCTACTTCTCAGCTATTTGTATCTGTCCCTTTATACCAACTGACAAGTTAATTATAATTTGTTTTTTCTTTTCCAGATAAAGTCCCTCTTTGGGGGCTGGTGAAATTGCTATTGACAAGCATTTGAAGACTTAGAAAATAAATATGATTGTATTTCACTTTCCGACTCTTTTAGGTGCTTGCCAAAATTGGGAGCGACTTTCTCCCCCTCTGAGATAGGCCTATTTTTGTTTCTACTAAATTAAGCGATTAGATGAGTATCTCAGGATAACAGGAGATGGGGGCAAGTCAATGAATTTTCCAACAGCCTTTTTACTCTCTGTCCCAATAATCAGCATTCAGATACTACCCACGCTAGTTTCAGTCTTTTCCTGGGAAAGTATCGTCTTCTGATGAAGCCTGACCAACATGGATACCACTTTTTTGGAAAGAGGGAAGACACAGCATTTTTCCCACAACCAGGTGACTGCTTCAAAGGGAAAGAGTATGAAAGGGTGTTTTGATTCCTTTTGTTGGCGTCCACCCTCAATTGTCCTAAAAACTGAGGGCCCCTCAACTCTGCCCTGAAAATTGAGGGCCCTGCAACCCTGCCCTGAAAATTGAGGACCATGGTAACCACCTCATTTGAGGAAGGATCAATGAATGGACAAGTTCCTCACTATCTTCTAACTGTTGTTCTTGTTGTGTGCTGTCAATTTTCCACTCATCGTGACCTCATGTGATAGAGTAGAACTGCCACATAGGGCTTTCTGGGCTGTAACCTTTATCGAAGTAGATCTCCAGGTCTTTCTCCCATGGAACCACAGGTTGGGTTCAAACTGCCAATCTTTTGATTAACAGCTAAGCACTTATTTACCTGTTGTGCCATGGGGGGCCCGTTTAATTCCAATTCTCATTGTCATCAAGTCGATTCGACTAATAGAGACCCCTCCTTGGATTTCTGAGGCGTTATCTCTACAGAAGGAGATTGCCCAATCTTCCTTGCAAGGAGTGGCAGGTGGGTTTGAACCGCCAGCCTTCTGGTTAGCAGTCAAATGCCTTAGGGACTATGCCACCAGAGCTCCCCCCAATGATATGCTCCATTGGTTAAAATGTGGTTTATTTTTTAAGATGGAGGCATAACTTACTTCATTTTAAGATGTTAGTGTAACTTACTTCATTAGTTGTTATTTACATCTTTCCCCCAAAGAAAAAAGAAAAATTATTAAATGGTGTTTCTATCCCAATAATGAGAAACAGGGCTGAGAGTTACCCAGAAATCCCATAGCATTTCCAGTAAAGTAGGCAGCACACTTGAGGTTCTCAATGAGGACCTAACAATCCAAGGGCAAAGAGAGTACTTGTGCTTCTGGGTCTGTGTGAGGTGTTGGGATGGGGAACTATGTTCTAACTACAGTGAACGCAGAGATCTGGGTTCAGAGATCTGGGTTCACTATCAGCAAGAGAAATAAAGAGTAATGTGGAAAATGAAATAAATATAGGAAAGCCTTTATATTCTTCTTCTATGGACATCCAGGTGACATTGTCTAAAACCACTCTCAGACCTATCAGTATGTCAGCATCTATCCACTCTTCTTCTTTTTCAGTCTTTTAGTTTTAGAATTCTCAGACTGGTTCTCAGACTTGACAGAGCACCTGCAGCTGCTGCACATCTCTGCAGCTTCTTCTCAGTTCTCGATGTGGAAGCAAATCCAACCATAGTGTTATGGATTGAACTGTTTTTCCCTAACATACGTGTTGGAATATAGGCATACCTCAGAGATATTGCAGGCTTGGTTCCAGACCAACACAATAAAGTGAGTATCTCAATAAAGTGAGTCACGTGAATTTGCAGAAGATTGGTGGTTCAAATCCACCAGCCACTTCTCAAACGGAAGGTGGGGCAATCTACTTTCGTAGTGATACCACCTCGGAAATCCAAGGAAGGGTAGCTATGAGTTGGGTCAGACTTGACAACACATAACAACAACAACAACAACAGTGCCAGGCCATTGTTCCTTCATCCCACAGCACAGCAGCAATTTTCCATCCACTGTTTCCATCCCAGATATTTCAATCACCCAAACATAACCTAGTTAAGCTCCTAAACCTATCCCATCCATTCATCCATCTATCCAATAAAAATTTATTTGAAAAAAGTATTTATGGGAACTTGAGGGCAAGCCATATCATGGATCTTAATTCAGTTTTCTGCATTGAAAGATAGTATGAGTTACTGTTAATAAAATATAACATTAAAATATCATACTAATGATTTTTAATGCATTTAATTGAGATATAACCCACATTCCATAAAATTCACTCTTTTAATGTATAGGATTCAGTGGTTTTTAGTATATTCACAAAGGTGAATCATTGCTATCTAATTTCAAAATATTTTTCTCACCCCAAAAAGAAACTCCATACCCATTAGTGGTTACTCTATTCTCTTCTTCCCCTAACCCTTGGCAACCACTAATCTACTTGTGTCTATGGATATATCCATTCTGGATATTTAATACAAATGGAATCATAGAATATGTGGTCTTTTCTGAGTGGCTTCTACTTAGCATAAGGCTCATCCATGTGATATGTATCAGTAGTTCATTTCTTTTTATTGACAAATAATAATCCATGATATGGATATACCACAATTTGTTTATCCAGTCATCAGTTGATGGACAGTTGAATTGTTTCTACTTTTGGGCTTTTATAAATAATGTTGCTATGGAAATTTATGTGCAGGTTTTTATGTGACCATATGCTTTCAATTCTCATGGATAAATGCCTAGGAATGGATATGCAAATGATTTTTTAAAAGGTGGAACACAAAGACAGATGTGCCACTCTTCATCTTGTTTGTTTTTGGTAAGAAGGGCTTTCTAGGCAGCTCTGGTGGCATAGTGCCTAATGCATTTGACTGCTAACCAGAAGGCTGGCAGTTCAAACCCACCAGCCACTCCTCAGAAGGAAGATTGGGCAATCTACTTCTGTAGAGATACTGCCTCAGAAACCCAAGGAGGGGTCACTATGAGTGGGAAACGACTCATCAGCAGTGAGTTTTGTTTTTTGGAGAATGGCTGGCTCAAATGACCAGATTTATGCATCCTGAGAGCAGATTTTGAAAGTAGTAAGGGGTGGTCCAGCTTAATGAATAGTAGTGGGATGATGGGATGACGAGAGCCCCTCACAAGAGGTCACTGGGGAGATCCTGAATTTTGGGGGTGACACAAATTAGACCACGAGTGACAAAGCAGAAGGGGCAAAAACACAGAAAATGCAGAGGAAACAACTCTACCCAGAAACTGAGCCTTCCCTGTGCTCCCCTTATGAGATGCCAATGCCCCCATGTGGGAGGGCAGCTGTCACAGAGTAAAGGTGCTCCTAGGAGGGAGCCTCCACACAGGGCTGTGACTCACAGATGGGGGCTTTTTTAAAATCTTAGTGTCAACAGCAGCATCAGCAGTTTTCTGGTCACCAGGAGGCTGTTCTTGTCCTTAATTTCTCCAGCCTTTGCATTTGTGTTAGAGTTGAATGGAGGATTGGGTCAGTCTCTCCTCACCTTGACCTCACCTTTTCCCCCCACAAGCTGAGATGAAAGTCCCTTTTCCCTGTTGGAGCTTTACCTGTCTTAAAATAGGAGCTCCATCACAGTCAGCAATCTACGCACTCAGATTTTAGGTCTAGCAAATAACCTCTTTTCTAAAATAATGTGGCTTTTAAAATTCACAGGATGGAGAGGTGAGAGAATGGAGTAGCTGAGCAAGGGTGTGGGAGCTGGACTGCAGAGCCAGATCTGACTCTACCATTGACCCTGCTGACCTCAGGCAACTACTTTACCTCCCTAGAATTCTGTTTCCTCTTCTGTAAAGTGCTAAGAACCTATCTGACATATAGCAAATGCCTTTTATTATTGGTAATCATTTCAAAATAACAATTCAACTCTCAGTAATAATTTATATCCAAGTGCTATGAAATGCTGCTTTCCTAGGGTTTAAATCGATACTCAGCCTTGTGGCTTCTATCAATGAAAACACCAAGACTGAAAAGATGTTACAGAGTTACCAGAAGATACTTTTTACCTTACATAACACTTCCAAGGAATATTCTTCTATTTCTGTAATCAAAAATAAATGTGTTTAAGGGAGGCACACAAGAGTTAAAGGCAATGAAGTTGAATACTATTACATACACAACACTGTAATAACAGTAACAACAATAACCTATGAGTGGATACACAGATAGACACTCAAGGTAAACAGGGGTGGGGAGATGAATGGGATTATACATAGGGTATCTCCACCTATATATTTATAGGTACTGCAAATACATCCATGAATATAGTAGAGCATACAGGGGGCACAAAGTTATGAAAACTTCGTAGTCATAACCAAACACCTTGAGGAAATGAGTCGTTGGGCATAGGGGGTGAGGACTATAGTCTCTGGGGACAACTAAGGTCAACTGGCATAACACAGTCCACAAAGACACTATGCTACTTCCTAGTTTGGTGAGTAGTGACTAGGGTTTTAAAAGCTTATGAGGAGACTATGAGACCAGAAGAACTAGATGGTGCCTGGCTACCACTGTCAACCACTTGGAGGGGGATCTCTGTAGGAGATCCTGGACAGAGTGAAAGAACAATCTGGAACAAAACTCAAAATCATTTTAAAAAAAATGGGACCAGATTTGCAGGTCTGATAGAGCCTGATGGAACCACTGAGACTATGCCCTAGGTGCTCATCAGGTCTGGAATTGAACCTACTCCTGTGGCTTCCAGCCACACAAAAGACAGGCATATGAGCTGAACATTTACATTAGGTAGACACACTCCCTGAAGAGATCAATCGTGGGAGCACAGAAGGGCTGTGTATGCACAGGGAGACAGCTAAGAGGGCAGGAGTGCATGGAGGGATGGACACAGGGAAGAGGTAATTATGGGGAGGAAGTGAGAGGGGAGCTGCTGCATTGTGGGAAATTACAGTCAATGTCATGACAAAGTGTATGTGAGCTGTTGTATGGAGAGTGAATTTTCTCTGTAAACTTTCACTGAATTACAATAAATTTTTTTTTTTTTTTTAAAGCTTATATGGAGCCATCTGAGATGCAACTATTGGTCTCTTCCCATCTGGAGCAAAGAAGAGTGAAGAAAATCAAAGATGCAAGGAAACAATCCAAAGGACTAATGGACCACATGAATCCCAGCATCCAAGAACTACATGGTGCCTGCATACCACTGCTGACTGCTCTGAAAGGGATCACAACAGAAAGGTCTAGATAGTGTAGGAGAAAAATGTGAAACAAAACTCAAAATCATAAAAAAAGGTCAGGCTTACTGCTCTGATAGAGACTGGTGGTACCTCCTAAACTATGGCTTTAGATACCCTTCAAACCTGCAACTAAACTCACCCCCCACAACTCAACATTCAGCCAAACGATAGACCTATAAAGTGAACAATAATACCAGGAATGTATACACTCATTAGAATAATCAACCATATAAGATCAAAAGGGCAGCATTTTCCCAGGGATAAAGCTAAGAAGGCAGAAAGGGATAGGAAGAAAAGACAAACGGTAAACACAAGGAGGAAGCAGGAAGAACTTTGTTATATTGAGGGGATTATGACTGTCACAAAACAAAATGTGTATAATTATTGAATGGGAAACCAATTTTTCTCTTGGGTGAAATTTTACCCAATTCACAATTAAAAAATAAAGAAAAAAATGTGTTGAATTCACATGATGAAAAATATACCAGCAAACTAAAAAGTCTCCTTTGTAAAAAAAAAAAAAAAATTGCCAAACTCTCAGATAATTTTCTAATTATTTGATGGGAAAGTTTTCCTTTTGTCCAACTGCTTATGTATCATTCAGGAGGCAAGAAGCAGCCACTGAGTCATCACATTTAGGGAATAACCACACAAGACTGTAGTTGGTCCATATGAGACTCAGTCCACATCCGCTAACTTCAAACTCAACACAGACAGACAGGTCTGATGTGAAAATGGGGAAAGTATCTCAGAAAAAGGGGTGGGAAACAGGTGGCTTGGCTACTCCCTGCATCACTGAGACTACAGGGACCATGCTGCTGCATGCCTGGCTGTGTCATGTTCCTACCTCCAAACTCATGGTTAACATTTTTTGGCTAAGGACCCCTCTGAAACTGATAAAAACAATGGACTCTCCCTGCTCAGGAAAATGTTTATAAATCCACACATGGCTCAGGGGTTCAAAAATTACCTGAATCCCATACTTTGATAGACTCCCAAGACTGGGATCCAACCAAACCAAAAACCAAACCCATTACCATCAAGTCAATTCCCATTCATGGTAACCCATGTGTTACAGAGTAGAACTGCTCCATAGGGTGTTCTTGACTGTAATCTTTATGGAAGGAGATCACCAGGCCTTTCTTCCGATGTTGCTGGGTGGGTTCAAACTACCTACCTTTATGTTAGTCAAGTGTAAACCATTTGTGCCACTAAGGGACCTCTGGGACCCAAAGACATTGGGTTAAGAATTTGGCCTATACCCTCACTGTCCAGCAGGAGGCTCCCTTGGGGCATAGGCAGATTGTATTTATTAACTGTGGGGATCAGGGACATCTGGAGCCAAATGTTCATAGATACAAGACACTCAAGTAGAGGAGGGAGTGAAGTCAAGCTCCTTCTGTCTTGAGGCCTTGAACTGCTACCTGCTCTGACGTGCAAGGGGTGGCACAAAGTGGGTGGGGAGGTCAGACAATTATAAGGTATGACCCAACAGGACAGCAAGAAAGCCAACCCACCGTAAGGAGCAGAGGACTCTCCATATCCTTTCATGTCCACAGCAAGTACCCGGTAGCCCGCTTGTGCTAGAGCAGGAATCTAGAAAAACAATTCAGAGACAAATCAGTATGGCCTGATCCATCCTTTGCTGACATACCCTCTTCGCTACCCTTTATCCCTCTCTTCCTATAAATGGCTCAATCCAAAGTGCCACATGGTACAACCTGGTATACTCACCCTGGAACTGGAATGAACCCATCCAGATAGGGCACCAAGGATGGCAGTGAGGTTTGTGCACTGCACACAATGCCACACCTAAGAGGGCCCCTTCCCTGGCACAGACCTTGAAGATCTTCATATTATTATAAAGATTTCCAAGCAGGTGGCATAGAATGTCTCGAAGAAAGTTGTGTTGTTATAACTTTTCCTAATCTGGAAAGATGCCCTATGGGCCAGCACTGCCCTAGACCAGAGTGATCATGGTCTGAGGCACATGGTCCTGCTCTGGAGACAGTGCTCTGCTGGGAAGTTTCATCTTCTTATATTTCTAATAGATATTACAGGCTGGCCCATGCCATCAAGTCTTCTTCCTCACCTCACCTTGACTGAGATATACCTTCCCCCAGACTCCCTTACCTGGTACCTCCATGAGAACCAGCTCTCAGGAAAGCCATGGCAGAGGCACACCACAGGCCCAGTGCCCAGCTCAACAAAGTGCAGATGGCTCCCTGGCTGTGGAAAAGAAAAGTAAGTGGGCAGTGATGACTAGCCTCCAGCTGGGGGACCAGGCACCTGCTCTCCTCTATAGATTGCCACAGGCATTTCAGTTGGTTGCCAGATCTTGCATGGCTCCATGTTAGATGAACATGTGTGAGAAGAGACAACTGGCCAAGACTGTGCAATAAGAACAGGTGGCTTTCTTTAGAAAACAAGAAGCCTGAACGGATTATGATAGTGGGAAAAACAAAAGGACAGAAGAACTTTGCTTTCCTCTCTAAAAGGCCATCATGCTGTCAGGACTTCTGGTGCTATTTGATAAATCTATAGTCAATATTTTAAACTGTGGGCTGATTTTGTTCTCATATTAATGTGTTGAATACCATGACTATTTCATTAAAAGCTGTTTAACCTCTTAATTGTGTAATTGTTTTCAAGCTTTCTGGGGCTAGATGGATGTGGCAGAGACTGCTAGAGGTCACGAGTGTCTGTGTTCTTCTCTTTTTCCTGGCACATGGTGAGATTTTCCAGACGCCCTCGTGTGACCATGTGCCTGAGCTCTGGTCAATGGAATATGAGCAGAAGAAATGTGTGCTATGTTCCAGGGCCCACATAAAGCTCTCACACTTGACTTTTTCTCTCTTTTTCAGCTGAATGGATTGGACCTTGAGGAAACTGGAGATTGCAGAGAGGAGCCTGACTGTGGAGAGAGTCCACTACTGACCTGTGTTAGACTGTACTGCAAACAAGAAGCAAACTTTGTATTAGGCAACTGAAAAGTTTGATGTTGCTTGTTATAGCAAGCAACTATTGCAGTGAAGTCTAAGCAAACTAAGACAATATATAATCAAAATCCATTGCTCTTGAGTCACTTCCAACTTGCAGCAACCCTACAGGACAGAGCAGAACTGCCCTATAGGATTTCCAAGGCCATAATCTTTATGGGAGCTGATTGCCACATCTTTCTCCCATGGGGCAACTGCTAGGTTTAAACTGCTGACCTTTCAGTTGGCAGCTGAGTGCTTTAACCACTGTGCCATTGGTGCTCTTTATATATAATCAAAGTGTCCTATGTTCCAAAAGCGTGTATCACCAACTTTGTAATGGAAATGAATGACCATAGTAAGAGTCATGTTATAGACATTCATTTGGAACAATTCTATTTGGCTACATCTAAGACTGAGGAGCAATGGGGGCATAGTGGTTAAAGTATTTGGCTGCTAACCAAAAGGCTGATGGTTCAAACCCGTAAGCCCTTCTGTGGGAGAAAGATGAGGCAATCTGCTTCTGTAAGATTTATAGCCTCAGAAACCCTGTGAGGCAGTTCTATTCTTTCCTAAAGGGTCACTATGAGTCGCAATAGACTAAATGGCAGTGTTTATTATTATTATTATTATTTATTATTATCTAAGACTATTGTAAGGAGCTCTGGTAGCATAGTGCCTAAGGCACTTGATCGCTAACCAGAAGGCTGGCAGTTCAAACCCACCAGCCACTCCTCGGAAGGAAGATGGGGCAATCTACTTCCGTAGTGATACTGTCTTGGAAACCCAAGGAGGGGTTGCTATGAGTCGAGTCTGACTTGACGGCACATAACAACAACAACAACAACAAGACTATTGTAAGGAGCCCTGGTGGCACGGTGGTTAAGTGCTCAGATACTACCTGAAAGGTCTGTGGTTCAAACCCACCAGCTACTCCACAGGAGATAGATGTGGCAGTCTGCCCCTGTAGAGTTATACCTTTGGAAGCTTTATGGGACAGTTCTACTCTATCCTATAGGGCTGCTATGAGTGGCAACTAACTCAATGGCAATGGGTTCAATGGGTCAGATTATTACAAGCTGGTGTTCCAAATTGGAATTTTATTTCAAGATATGCAACAAGATACTTTGCTCAAGAAAACACTACATTGACAAGGATCATAGTGTCTGGGGACATCTAGGTCAACTGGCAAAACATACTTCATAGAGATATTGTTCTACATCCTAGTCAGGTGAGTAGCATACAGGGTCTTAAAAGCTTGTGAGTAGCCATCTGAGAAGCAACTATTGGTTTCTTCCTGCCTGGAGCAAAGGAGATGAAGAAAAACAAAGACTCAAGGAAGTAATTAGTCCAAAGGACTAACGAACCACAGCCTCCTCTAACCTAAAGCCAGCAGACCTAGATGGTGCCCAGCTACCACCACTGACCACTCTGACTTAGACCACAACTGAAGGTCCCAGTTAGAATGGACAAAAAAATGTAGTACAACATTTGGATTTAAAAAAAAAAAAACCACCAACCAGACTTACTGACCTGAAAGAGATTAGAGGAACCTACCGAGACTACTGCTCTGAGGCAACCTTCTAACTTGAAAGTGGAGGCCAACTTTCAGTCAAATAATAGATGGAACCATAAAACAAACAATAACATCTGTGAAGGACACACTTCTTGGAAAAATCAACTCAATGAGACCAACCAAACCAAAACCAAACTCACTGCCGTTGAGTCAGATCCGATTCACAGCGACCCCTCCTTGTGTTTCCAAGGTGGTATCACTACGGAAGTAGACTGCCAAACCTTCCTTCCGAGGAGTGGCTGGTGGGTTTGAACCGCCAGCCTTCTGGTTAGCAGTCAAATGCCTTAGGCACTACGCCACCAATGAGACCCAAGGGGCAACATTTACCCCAAATAAAAGAGGAGGAAACAGGGAGAGACAGGGAAACCACCCAAACAGAAACAGGGAAGAAACAGGCAAAGTGCTGACATACTGTTGTGACTGCAACCAGTGTCATGGAACAATTTGTGCATGAACTATTGACTGAAAAAGTAATTTGCTATGTAAACTTTCACCTAAAGCACAATAAAATGTGTGTTTGTTTGTTTTTTTAAAAAAACAAACCATTAGGCTGAAGTTTCACAAACCATTTCATAGATCACAATCTTTTATTGGACTATGTTCCCTTCCCTTTGTTTCTTGGCAAAAGTTAATTTGACCTTTATACTCCTTATGTTAAAAAATGTTGCAGTGCTGATGTCTAACCAACACAGATCCTAACTAAAAGGCTCGCTCTTGATATTTCAAACTGCACTTAACTGAACAGCTCAGCAAATGCTTGTACTTTCTTTTTATTCATAAAATTACCATTAAGCCAGCAAACAGGAAAGAGCCATTAACAACCCAGTTTGAGTTGCATGAGGATTCAGTGTGCTAGCAAAGTATCTGGAGGGCAGTGCAACAGCGCCCTGAAATCCTCAGTTCAGCTGGGGCTCCCCAGAGATGTTTCAGCTCCTAAATTTGGGGTGGGGCTAAAGAGGGTGAAGCACAAATGTTTGCAGCTGTTTCTTCTCAGAAAGATGGTGAGACTTCAACTTTCTTTAGACATGTCATCAGGAAAGAACAACCATTAGAAAAAGACATCATGATTGGTAAATCAGAGGGTCAGTGAAACAAGGGAAACCCTCAATGAGATGAACTGACACAACAGTCACAACAACAGACTCAAACGTACCAATGATCGTGAAGGTAACACAGGACGAGCAACATTTCATTCTGTTCTATACACAGTCAGCTCTCAGTATCTGAGGGGGATTGGTTCCAGCTCACCTATGGATACCAAAATCCTAGCATGCCCAACTTCCTTATATTAAAAAGTGTAGGATTTGCATACAAATGCACTTCCTCCCATATGCTTTAAATCATCTCTGGATTAGTTGCAATACCAAATACAATGTAAACGCTATGTAAATAGCACTTTTTGCTCCCTCTCAGCCTTTGAGAGACTGCTGTGACCACTTTGTTGCCTTTTCCCCCCTGAATATTTTCCATGGCAGCCCTTTGCCCTTTCATGGTGAGACTACTGTAAGGTCATCATGAGTCAGAACAAACTCCACAGCAAGTAGTAACAATGAGAGGGGGTGGTAAAGGAGCTGTGATCAACTACCTTAAGGTCAAATGATAGTATTTTGAAATTAGCAGGATACGCAAGCATAAACAGATTACTAGACTGAACCCTGTCCATAGTTTTAAGACTAAAGGTTACACTGCAGATCCTAGCTCCAGGCAGAGCACCCTCACTCCCCAACATTACCAGAGGTAACCAGAGGTAACCAGAGGTCTGAATATGCCTTCTTATTAAAAGTTTATCCCTTTCACAAGTACTGAGTGTTACAGAAAGGACTGTAGTGATACTGATCAACAGTTTTCAGTATCAGGAAAGCCCTTCACTATTGTCAAAAATCCCACTCATCCTTTGATGCTCACTCACTCTGTGTTGTGAACATTTGTGCTTGCTGCCTCCACCCTCCCAGAGGGTGCACTCTGGACATTGCTATTAAGCATGACCTCATTCTGTGATGTACAAGCAAGAAACAAACTTTGTGGTAAGCCACTGAAGTTTTGGGACTGTTTGTAACAGCAGTTATACCTTGGTTGTTAATGCATAGTTCTAGTCATCAGATTATGAAATTCCTGAGTCAGGGAAGACACTTCATTTATCTCAGTATTTCTTGCTGTTCTGGCATATGGTAAGTACTCACTATCTATCTGTGGGGGTTACCCTCCAAGGAGGGGGGCAGTGGTAGTTCAGTGGCCAAATTCCCGCCTTCCATGCAGGAGATCCAGGTTCCATTCCTAGCCAGGGCACCCCATGCACAGCCATCACCTGTCTGTCAGTGGAAGCTCGTGTGTTGCTGTGAGGCTGAATCATTTTCACCGGGGCTTCCAGACTAAGATGGACTAGGAAGAAGGGTCTAGTGATCTACTTCTGAAAATTGGCCATTTGAAACCCCACAGATCACAATGGTCTAATCCACAACCCATCATGGATGGCACAGGACCAGGCACAGTTTTGTTCCACTGTGCATGGGGCCACCAAGAGTCAGGAGCCAACTTGAGGGCACCTAACAACAATAATAATAATCCTCCAAGGCAGTAGTTCTGCTCCATGGATCTCTAAGACCAGCATGCACAGCTCAGATCACCAGCTCTCCTCTTCACTGCTGTTGTTAGGTGCCATCGAGTCAATTTTCAACTCATGGTAACCCCATGTGAATTGTACCATAGGGTTTCCTAGGGTATAATCTTTACAGATCTGTCCTGGAGGAAGTGCAGCCAGAATGCTCCTTGGAAGCAAGAATGGCCAGACTTCGTCTCACCTATTTTGGTCATGTTGTAAGAAGGGACCATACCCTGGAGAAGGATGTCATGCTTGGTAGGGTGGAGGGTCAACGAAAGAGGGGGAGGCCTTCAATGAGATGGATTGGCACAGTGGCTGCAATGATGGGCTCAAGTATAGCAGGGATTGTGGGGCTGGCGCGGGATCGGGCAGTGTTTCGTTCTGCTGTGCATGGGGTCGCTATGAGTTGGAAACGACTCAACGGCACTCAACAACAGCAATCTTTATGGAAGCAGATCACCAGGTCTTTCTTGTATGGAGCCACTTGATGGGTTTGAACCACAAACCTTTTGTTTAGCAGGCAAATGTTTAACTGTTGTGCCATCAGGACTCTTTTTCTCCTTTTCATTGTTGTTAGGTGCTGTCAAGTCACAACTCACAGCAACCCATGTACAACAGAATGAAACACTGCTCAGCCCTGTGCCATCCTCACAACTGCTGCATGTCTGAGCCCATGGTTGCAGCCATGTGTCAATCCACCTCATTGAGGATCATCCTCTTTTTTTTCACTGACTCTATTTTAGCAAGTATGATGCCCTTCTCTAGGGACTAATCCCTCCTATTAATTATTGATTTTTTTTCTTCAAGTCTGATGCCCAGACTACATCCTTTTCATTATCTACCATTTTTTTGACCCATTAGGTATCAGGTACAGTGCCTTGTGTTTCATATATAAGCAGTCCCTGGGTTACAAACATCCGACTTATGGACAACTCCTACTTGCTCTTATTGTTTTTTTTAAATACATTTTATTGAAATATAATTCATGTACAGTGAAATACACAAAACTAAAGTGATATGGGGTGAATGCATTTTTTTTTTTTGCATTGTTCCCTCCCCTCCCCTCTCACCCCTGGTAACCAAGAAAGTTTCCTTCCATATATAAAACTTTCCTTGACTTTTTACAATAATAAACTAATACTGTCTTTGTCTTTCTGTGATTGACTTATTTCACTCAGCATAATGTTCTCCAAGTTCATCCATGTTATACATTGTTTTGCAGATTCTATGTTATCCTTTAGGGTTGCATAGTATTCCATTGTATGTACACACCATAGTTTGGTTATCCATTCTTCTGTTGATGGGCATGTAGATTGTTTCCTCCCCCCCATCTTTTTGCTATTGTAATAGTGCTGCAGTGAACATGGGTGTGCATCCTACTTGCTCTTTAATGTTACATAAATGTGTTCTCACTTTGAAACAAGTGAACCAACTCTGACTCAAAACAAATTCTTCACCACGATCACATTCACTGGATACACATGCAGCTGTTAAATCACTGCAAAGGCTTGGAGCCTTTTCTTACACTAAAGGCTAAATAAGGACTGTATGTATCTGTTCTGACTCACCTACAAATTCCATTTAAAGACTTAAAACAGAGTTAGGAATGGATCTCGTTTGTAACCCAGGAATTGCCTGGGTTGTATTAAACGTATTGCTTTTTTGGTCATGTTGTAAGAAGGGACCATTCCCTGGAGAAGTTGTATTAAAGGTATTGCTTTTAATCTTTACAATAACCTTATATGGAAAGCATTATCGTCATCTCATTCTAAAGCTGTGGACACTCAGGCCCAGAGCGGGTAAAAACCTTAGCAAAAGTCACGAAATTAGTAATTGGCAAAAGTAGGATTTAAACTATTTCTGTCTGACTCTAAAGCTAGTCTTAACCACATAATTATATTGCCTTGTTTTATTTATAGCTGACCCATAGCTTTAAGTCACTTCTGAGTTAAATAGGCCCAATGACAAATGAGGAAAGAGCCCAAAGTACATCAGTGAAGAAGTTCTATCATACCCTGTATGAGCAGGATGGTTTAGGCCTCCCTGGCCAGGTCGGAGTCACAGCCCCCTCTGCACGTGGCCCTGTCATAGCACTGACCACTGTGCATCTTATTTACCTTTTACCTCTCTTTATCCTCACTGTGAAGTCTTTGAGGAGAGATCTGTTTTGTTCATCACTGTAACCCTAGTACCTAACCTGTGCCTAACACAAAGTAAGTGCTCACTAAATACCCACTGAATGAAAAAGCATTCTCCCCAAACACAATCACATTAGCATTCCAGGTAACTCAAGGCCCTCCCCCTGCACCCCCCACCCCCACCCCAAGGCCTGTTGTTCCATGAGGGCTTGATCACATCAGTCACAATGCTTTATAAAATCTAAGGCAGGGCTCATGTCTACTACCAATTTCTGAGGAATGACACTTGTTTGAGAAATGCTATTTCCTTTTAAATGGTGAATGTTAAACTAATCTTAATATTTAACAAATGTCTCTGCTGATAAGAGGGGTGTGCTGGTCACATTAGGTGACCTATTTAGTGAGTACTCAGCTGACTGAATGAGAGTGCTTACCTTTATTGGCACATACCCATGGCTCATATCACTCAATTTGCATGGGGTTGGCAGAGGGGTTCCAGTGCTGAGAAGCTGAAAATACAAAGGGTACAGAGAGAGAGAAGACTGTAGCTTCCTTCTGTGAAGAGTTCTCACAGTGAGTTTTACAAAACTTGAGAATCGTGGCATCAGAAGGGACTACATTTCCCAGCCTTCCTTTCAGTTTGGTGGCGTCATATGACTGAGTTCTGGCCAATGGAACGCAGACAGAGGAATATTGAGTGTGACCCATTAAAACCTTCCACATGCTTCTCCACTCTCTTTCCCCCAACTACCAGCTGGATATCTGGCCTGAACTTGGAAACCACATGTAGAAGATGGTGGGTCCTCCATTATGGCAAATATCTAACCCCCTATGCCTTCCACCTGCAGGTCCCAGTTCTATGCCCTAGAGACAGAGGGTGTAGACTAACCTCTCTTTACAAAATATTTTAAGGATGGCTCTGTAACTTATTGGTGTCAGTTTCCTTGAAGCAAAAACAACCAAGGACAGGATTACACAAATAAGTGAGCACTGTGTTACAACCAAAACCGTGTTTGCTGGACATGTTAATGAATCATACTATTAAATTTCTTGTCTTTAGTCCTATAGGTGTGACCTAAGAAAGAAATGGCTCTGCTCAGTTACCCTGTTTTCTAGCCTCTGAAATGGAAGAAATAAACTATAAAATTCACCTTCCATTTAAATATGGGAGAGTGTGCCTGGGTGTTCTTGGAGGAGGGGATCAGAAAGTAACTCAGGAGAGGACTCAGGTCTGGCAGGAGGGCTTAGCATGTGGGGATGGGGCAGCAGTGGGTTTTTTCCATCTGATTTTGGGGTTCTTCCTCAGAGATGCCTTTAGCTTCCTGGGCCACAAATCAGGGGCTATCTCACAGCTCCCAGGGCTAAGGGAGGTGGTGGTATTCCACTTGAATGATTCTTTTGAGTGTTTCTATAGTTTACAAAGACTGTTCATGACCAAGTCCCACAGCCTCCTGCAAGACAAGAGGCACACTCTTCCTATTTTAAAAAGATGATTTACATTTTTCCTTTTTATCTTCCCCATAGTCTTGAGAAGAAGAGAAGTAGAACATGGTTGTCTTTCCTCATTTTACAGGACAGCTAAGAAGACCTACCCCCTGAGTCTACAGAGAAGCTATGATGGGACTAGTGTGTGGGAGAGACCAGACAAGCCCGCAGATGCTCTGATTCAGAGTCCAGTGAGCTTTCTCCTCTGGTGCATGATGCTTCCAGACTTTCAGAGGGCAAGTTAAGTTTAGGCAAGATGCTTTAAGATTGTGAAGTCATCACATGTACATTTTAATTTATTTAGTAAAGATGCAAAGTAAATTGTTCTGTTTGGGAAATGGCGAGGAAGTCTTGGGCAGTGCGCAACCGGGATGGATTATGCTGGCATCTCCTGCCCTCTTTCCCCATACGCTCCTGTCAGCCAAGGCAATGCACTGCTGAAAAGGCTTGTGCAATTCAATCCCTCCTGGACTCAGTAACTGAGATAGATCACAATGATCTTAGATACACACAAAAGAATACGCTGTCTCAGCTCTGGTGGAGCAGGCTCTACCTCTGGCAGCCCTCAGGGCCATTGTTAAAGACTTTGCGTGCTCGTCTATCAGCGGCATTACAACATTTCTTACTGCAGAGCCTTCCTTTAGGACTGTTCAAAGCAGAACGAAAATGCTTACTGCCTGAGTGAGAGGTCAGGCCACAATGGAACCCACTGTTTCAGATCTCAGTAGACCACCAGTTGCTATTGACTTGATTCCAACTCATGGCAACCCCATGTATGTCAGAGTGGAACTGTGCTCCACAAGGTTTTCAATGGCTGATTTTTTTCAGAAATCGTCAATGTTGTTGCTGTTATGTGTCGTCGAGTTGGACCCGACTCATAGCGAACCCTCCTTGGGTTTCCCAGGCAGTATCACTACAGAAGTAGATTGCCCAACCTTCCCTTTGAGGAGTGGCTAGTGGGTTTGAACTGCCAGCCTTTTGGTTAGCAGTCAAGTGCCTTAGGCACTACACTACCTTAAATACATTTGGAAGGAGCTCTGGTGGTAAAATGGTTAAGTATTCAGCTGCTAATTGAAAGTTGGCAGCTCAAACTCCAAATGGATCAAAGACTTAAAGTGAAACCTAAAACTATAAAGTTCCTCTAGGAAAAACTAGGGGCAAATTTAGGGGCCCTAACATATGGCCTAAATACACTATCAACCATAACCCAAAATGCACAAACAGCAGAAGAGAAACTAGATGGATGGGACCATCTATAAGTTAAATTTTTATGTGCTTCCAAAGACTTCTCCAAAAGAGTCAGAAGAGAACCTACAGATTGGGACAAAGTATTCGGCAATAGCATATCTGACACGGGACTTATCTCTAGAATTTACAGAAAACTCCAACACCTCAATAATAAAAAGACAAATAATCCAATTAAAAAATGGGCAGAAGACATGAATAGACACTTCACCAAGGAGGATATTCAGGCAGCCAAGAAACATATGAAGAAATGCTCACAATCATTAGCCATTACCCACTGCTGTCAACTCATATTTGACTCAAGGTGACCCCTCCTTGGGTTTCCAAGGTGGTATCACTATGGAAGTAGATTGCTCAACCTTCTTTCTGAGGAGTGGCTGGGGGGTTTGAACCACCAGCCTTCTGGTTAGCAGTCAAATGCCTTAGGCACTACACTACCAGAGTTCCACTAGAGAGATGTAAATCAAAACAACAATGAGATACCACCTCGCCCCAGCACTAGTAGCAAAGATCAACAAGACGGAAAATAACAAATGCTGGTGAGGATACAGAGAGATTGGGACTCTCATACACTGCTGGTGGGACTGTAAAATGGTACAACCACTGTGGAAAGCAGTATAGTGATTCCTTAAAAAGTTGAAATTAGAAATACCACTTGACCCAGCCATTCCATTACTGGGTATATATCCTAAAGAAGTAAGAGCCATGAGAAGGACAGACATATGCACACCCATGTTCATCACAGCACTATTTACAATAGCCAAAAGATGGAAATAACCTAGGTGTCCATCAACTGAGGAATGGATAACTGAAATACTACTACTACTATGCAACCCTAAAGAATAATGTAGAATCTGCAAAACAGCACATAACGTGGATGAACTTGGAGGGCATTACGCTGAGTGAAATAAGTCAATCACAGAAGGACAAATATTGTGTTAGTCTGTTATTGTAAAAGTCAAGGATAGGTTTATATGTGGAAAGAAATTTTCTTTGTTGGTTACCAGGGGTGGGAGGGGAGGGTCGGGAACATTGTTAAACAGGTAGAGATAAGTATTGATTTGGGTGAAAAGAAGGGCAATGTACCAAGTGTGAGTGATCAACATGGTGGCACTGAGGAAGAGGAAGACAGAGAGGTACATGGGAGGTGCAGACAACAAAGATGAACCCTTTTGCACATACAGCACTGTGTTGTCAGTGAAGGTAAACATGGGTATACTAGTGGATAGATGGGTGGACAGGCTGAACTATTAGGTATGTCTATCTATGCAGCAGGGAGTGTACCCAAGACCATGTATAGGGTTGGCAAACAATGGTTTTACAAGTCTATTTGTATGTTGTGTAAGAATTCCCAGGTGTATAGTAGATCTGACAAGGGACAAGATTGTAGTCACTTCTTGGTCACAGCCAGCTACCCAGAGGGACTGAGTAGTTAAACCTGTGGGTTCGGGACCATAGTCACAGGGGACATCAGGCTCAATTGGCATAACATACTACACAAAATATTGTTCTACCTCCTACTTTGGCGAGTAGTGACTGGGATCTTAAAAGCGTACAAGCAGCCATCTAGATGCAACGATGGGTCTCTCCTTGTCCAGAGCAAAGAAGAATGAAGAAAACCAAAGATTCATGGAAACAATTAGTGCTAGTCACTGGTACACCATGCAATCTGCACAGCCTATAGAACTATGAGACCAGGAGAACTAGATGGTGCCTGGCTACCACTGTCAACCACTTGGAGGGGGATCTATGTAGGAGATCCTGGATAGACAAGGAGAACAATGTTGAACAAAACTCAGAATCATTTGGGAAAATAAAAAGGAAGGGGACCAGGTTTGCTGGTATGATAAAACCTGGTGGAACCACTGAGACTATGGCCCCTAGCTGCCCTTCAGGTCTGGAATTGAACCCATACTTGTGGCTTCCAGCCAAACAAAAGATAGGCATATGAACTGAACATTTAGCTGAGGTAGATACCCTCCTTGGAGAGAACAATCATGGGAGAAAGAAGGGCTGCTTTTGCACAGGGAGACAGCTCAGGAGGCAGGGGTGCATGGAGGGATGCACACAGGGAAGAGGTAACTATGGGGAGGAACTGGGAGGGAAGCTGTTGCATTGTGGTGAATTGTGGTCAATGTCATGAGATAAAGTGCATGTGAACTGCTGTATGGAAAATGAATTTGTTCCGTAAATTTTCACCCAAATCACAATAAAAGAAAAGAAAAGAATGTTGGCAGTTCAAACCCAGCCAGTGGCTCCATGGGACAAAGACTTGGCAAACAAAGATTACAGCCAAGAAAATCCTATGGGGCAGTTCTACTCTGTCAAATGAAGTCACTTTAAGTTGGAATTGACTGAAAGGCACCCAACAATAATAGGGAGATAGTGATCATTCCTACTTCATAGGGTCTTTGTTAGGAATAACTGAGCTAACACATGCAACATTGTTAGAACTTGAGCTAAAGTTAACTAAAAAGGAATGAACAATAAGGTTGGGATGGCTTTGAAAGCTGTCATCCTTGTCTTGGTTCCCTGGCCTCTGGGACTAAGACTGGCATATGTTCTTGGTCTCAGAGCTTCTGTTTTGTTGTGAGCTGGGTGAAGGGAAAGAAATTGCCTTCAATGTCCCAGGACACCATGCTGATGCCGTGATGAGCAACGGCAGTCCATTTGAGTTGTCCTGGTAACCATAAGCAACACTTCATGCACACCAGGTTATCCTCTCACCTGATTTGTCTCTTATGTATATAAACTACAGATGCGTTACAGAAGATCTGGCTTAGCTCAGACTTAAAATTACCTGCAGGCCGGTTACTTTCTCCAGTTCTCTCAGGGCTGTGTTGGTGTCATGGACCAGGATGGTGACCATTCCTAAGTCATGAGCTGGCTTCAGATTAGTCCCAATGTCATCTAAGAAAACAACCTGAACCCAAAATATCATGTACACTAGCATTATAGCTATAACAGAAAAATTTACACATGAGGGAAACTATCAGGAAAATGTACATTAAAATGCTAACAGAAGTTATTTCATAATGAGATTAAGATGATTTTCTTTCAGTGTGATTATTCATGTTTAAAATTTTAAGTATTTCATTATGTAAGTGTGTGTGTATATATGTATATAAATAAACATGTCCCCACATGCACATATTTACTTCAGCCTAATGCAAGATTCAAAGACAACATAAATTTGTCCAGATAACATTAAAATTCAACTGAAAAAATCTAAATATGATGAACAGACAAAAAGATGTCTGAAAAGGAATAGTTATGAGGGCAGATAAGAAAAAAATATTATGAAGCTATAAAAGGTAGAAGAGTTTGGTATAACAAAAAACACAGATATTATCAATGAAATAGGATAGAATTCAGGAACAGACCCAAATACAAGTAAGAATTTAGGTTATAATAAAGATGTCACATCCAATTTGCATGGAAGAAGAATGATGTTAGTATAACCAGTTAACTGTTGGGGAGACGAGGAGTGATCACTTCACTTGTTACCCCAAAATTGATTCCAAATGAATAAAAGATTCAAATTTAAAAAGAAAGAAAGATTCTGAAAGTAAGGAAGAAAGTATGGGTGAATTTATTTAAAATCGTAGACAAGGGCAGGCCTGGAATTACAAGCTATTCATCTAATCATCTAATTTTTTTTTTTAAATAAATAAAAAGACTGATGCATATTCAAAGCACTGACATAATACTTATTCCAGGCATTGAAAAAAGCAGAAGCAAAGTCCAAGACGAAATGGAATTGTTCTTGGTCCTTGGACTGAATATGACAAGGAGTGTCAGTGACTGGAGTTCAAGGTTTGAACCTATTAGCTTATGGGTGAGGTGGGGCCAGCAAGAGAGGGTCAGAAATACCAGGTAAAGGAATTTAAACTTGTCCCATCACCTTTCTGAAGATTAATAAGTAGAGGAACAAGATAAAAACAGTGCTTTAGATTAAATAATCTGCAGACAGTATGAAAGACAGGATTAGAGTTGCAAGGATGACTGGCAGAAGACTGTTGCAATACTGCAGTTCATCAATGCTCACCCTTTGGTGGGGTGACCCTGGTTATTCTGTGGCCTTGGGAAAGTCTCCCAGGGCATTGCTTCTTCATAAGTAAACAGAGACAGTGGACTAACAGCCTTCTATGATGCCTGTTGTGACCAAGATTCTGTTAAGAGCCACAGAAAGGGGCCAGATGGCCATCTCTGGTAGAGCTTTCTAGTCTGAAAAGATGGGTTAAAATCCTTTAGAAGTCCAAGTCTGGGAGAAATGGAACCTGCCACTGGACACAGAAATGTCCTGGCAGGCACCTGATGACCGCTTTCTCAAATTCTCTTTGGTTGAAATATCTCTGATACATTCTTATCTACCTAAAGGAAACTTGTACTTACCTCATTGGGGTTGGCCTGCAAGGTGTCCAGTACCAACTTGTAAATCTGAGGCTCAGGTTTGGCCATTCCAACATGACATGACTCTATCACGAAGTCGAAATGTGGCCTCAGTTCGATCATCAGCTGGGCCAGGCTGCCTCTCTGGACACTGTCATCCAGCCAGTTATTAGTGAGAATGCAGGTTGTAAATCCTGAACAAGAAGTCACCAGTGAAAGAACAAACCCACAGAACCTTGCTCTGAGAAGCTCAAGACGCCCCACAGGCAAACCCGAATATGGGACCGGATGTGGGCCTATTCATTTAAATCAATCTCCTGATTCCAGTTTCTCAGCTGACAAGATCTTATCTATAAGCACCTCCTGAGAATGAGCTAAGTGTATACATTAAAGGCTTTCAGAAGCCCAGATTAAGACACTAAAACCCAAAACACCAAACTCACTGTCATTGAGTTAATTCTGACTCAAAGTGACCCCATTGGGTTTCCAACGTGGTAAATCTTTATGGAAGTAGATTGCTCCATCTTCTTTCCATGGAGTGGCTGGTGAGTTTGAACCACCAATCTTCTAGGTAGCAGTCAAATGCTTTAGGTATTGTGCCACCAGATCTCCTACAATCCCTTTTGTTGTTGTTACATGCCGTCTAGTCGGCCCCGACTCATAGTGACCCCTCCTTGGGTTTCCGAGGCAGTATCACTATGGAAGAAGATTGCCCCATCTTCCTTCCAAGACAATCCCTTACAATTATGCATCAAAGTGTTTTGACATTCATCAGCTCACTTGACCTCCCTTCCTTTCAGGCAGGCAAGGCAGATTTTACTATCCGAAATTTGCAGATGAGGAAACAGAAACTCAGACAAGTCATGGTCTGCCCACAGTCACACAGCGAGTGGGAAACAGAGCCAGGCCTAGAACGCTGGCCTTCAGACTCCCAATCCAGTGCTCCTCCCATTCGTTCTTCTTACAGCAACCTCTGCTCTACTTATTTCAAACACCTGCATAGGCTTTCAGGGATTGCTTCACCATTTCAAAACCAGAGAAATGAAAATAGAGAAGCATTTTCTCCTGGCTTTACCTGCCTAAGAAGTGAGGGCAAGAACCAGGCAATGGCTGAAACGAGACATGAATGAGTTTATGGCAAGACCAATATGAGAAAATGTGGAACTGGATGGTTCAGCCACAACCTTCAGAAGTCTCCTGGGGAGAGGGTGGAGTCATTTCAAATATGCCTAAAAAGAAGAGCCAGACACTGACACCGAATAGCTGCCTGTGGGATGAACATGATCTCACATCATAGACCATTTGCCATCATTTGAACCACATCAGCTAGCTCATAGCTCAGCCACTCTGACCTCCTGAAGGCTAAAAAATTATAGTTGCTTAAAAAAGGCTTTGTTTTTTCATGACTGCGACAACAGAGTGGGAGCAGTTTTTCTTTCGGGTCATTACAAGTACCATCTAGACATCAGGAGGAAGTATCTGACAAGAGAGTCACTGGTTTAAACTGCTTTACTAAATAAAATTCTTTCATTTTCACTGCTTTTTTTTTAAAAAAAAAATATATATATATAGCTTGGGTGAAAGTTTAAGGAGCACATTGGGTTTCCACCCAACAATTTATACATATTTTTTTTTTCTGTGACACTGGCTGCAACCTTTGAAAGTAACAGCACTTTTCCTGCTTTCTCCCTGGGTTCCCTGTTCCCATTTGTCCTTCTTTCCTGTCCCTTCCTGCCTTCTGAGCTTAGCTTTTGGGCAAATGCTGCCCTTTTGGTCTTATATGGTTGGTTGTTCTGAGAGGTATGTTCCTCCCTGGTATTATTATTCACTTTAGAGGTCTGTCTATAGTTTGGCTGAAAATTGACCCCTGAGGGTGGGCTCCATTCCAGACTTCAGGGTATCTTAGGGCCACAGTCTAGGGGCTTTTTACAGCTATTTTCATAACGTTGGTTTTTTTTTTGTTTGTTTGTTTGTTTTGTTTTTTACCATTTGATAAAACTTACTTTGGAGCCATGTTCTAAGAATGGCTTTCCCTCAAGTCAGACAAGATCTAAGGTCTCAGAATACATTTACTTGTATCCTGACCTAAACTCCCCTAAGGATTCCAGTGTGGTCAGGTCAGAGAATGACTAATAATTTAAATCTTACCCTTCTTTCTGAGAGTGAGAACTGCTTGAAGAATGGAGTGGTTGATCTTTCTTGCTGAAACTGCCTTCTCCATGATTGTCTTTATAGAGAAATGTTCTGGGAGGCAGATTCCAGAGGCTTCAGAATGTTTCTTGCAATCTTCTTCCATGAGAGGCACCCACTGTAAAAGTGAATTGATAGGGGCTGTGTATTAGTGCAACCACTTCCAAAAGTTTTAGCACTATCTATTAAATCTGAACATAGCTTACTAAACTACAGGAGAATAAATTTATGTTTGTTAAAGCAAAAAAAAAAAAAAAAAAAGGTATATACAAAAATGTTCATAGCAGCAAAATTCGTGAGAGTCTCAAACTGCAAACAACCTAAATGCCCACTAGCATCAGAATAGATAGCTTGTGGTATATATTTATAAACTATCATAGCATCACTATTCAGAAAAGTCCCAACATGGCAACTGCCCACACACTCAATAACAGCAGAATGGATAAGTAGATTATGTTACAGATATATTCACACAATAGAATACCATGCAATAATGAAAATAAGCTATCCACATCTATATGCAATAACATGAATGAATCTCACAAATATAACGTTGAACAAAAGATGTTAAGAACTTTCCATCCTTCACAATAACCTATAGAATAGGTAGTATTATCACCCCCATTTTACAGATGGCAAAACTGACACTTACTTGCTTATAGTCAAACAGTCCACAGGCAGGGGACTGATGTCTGACTCGAAAGTCCACTCAGTATACAGTTACTGAATTAACAGACCCAGTCTCTGCCCTAAAATAGCTATTCTGGCTCTTGTAATTCCATGGCACAGATCTTTAAGGGCTAGGAAATTTCCCTGTCATTGGGATGTCTCCCTCTTCTTGGTCCTCAGAAATAACAAAAGACATTGTCTTAAATGCTTTTTGAACATCTTCTCCTTTCTAGGTCAACCTTAGGAGTTATGTGCTATAATGGGTAAGTGGTTGAAGAAGATATGGCCCTTACCTTCAGAGAGCTTATAATCAGTGTATGCAAAGAGTGACCACTCAAGGGGGTCTGTGTGGTGTCCCCTTACCTGGGAAAAGGTCATTTCTCCTTTCATGAGGCGGACACTGGGACCATCTGGGCCTCCTTTCCAGAAGGCTTCTTTCAAAAAGTCCCTGCAATTTAGATAAAAAGAAACAATAGCAACATCATGAACATGCACTTGACTTTATTATGGCACTATGTAGGAAATAGACACTGTTTTTATTCACTAACAAATTGCTATGAGACAGGCATCCTACATGGACTGAGCAGTGTCAAAAAAAGAAAAGAGAAAAAGTTTAAATTGGTATCTTTGTCCTCAAGGAGCAATGAGGGTATTCAAATGATAAATACCCTCCAAGGTGAAGAGGTTCATGGGAGACCATCTAGCAGAATCTTCAACTGGAGGTACTTCCAGTTTTACCACTTAAGGGATAGAATCAAGCCTAGACATGCAGTCATTATCATCTTTAGCTCATTTGCACAAAGCAATGCACCAAAGCTTTTTTCATTAATTCCTGTTCTTCAGAAGGAGCAAAAAAATTTTTTTTTTCTGGTTTTGATTTTGCACATATAGTTTCTATTTTTCCTTTATCTTATCTTCTAATTTTTTTAAGTTTCCTTTGTTGTTGTTGTTGTTTTTTTATGTGCCATAGAGTTGGACCTCCTTGGGTTTTATGTGCCCTCCTTGGGTTTCTGAGGCAGTATCACTACGGAAGTAGATTGCCCCATCTTCCTTCCAAGGAGTGGCTGGTAGGTTTGAACTACCAGCCTTCTGGTTAGCAGTCAAGTGCCTTAGGCACTACGCTACCTTAGTCCATATTAATCCCGTACATGCCCCTGAATTATAGTAGACACAGAAGGAGAAAGCTGATTACCTTCCCACTTCCCACATTAAAAATGAAAGGTCCCACTCCACTCTCTTATTTTCCCTCCCTCTAATGGGACCTCCTCCACATGGCTTACTGTGATTATATGCTAACTTGGCTGATTCCCTGGTTTGGCAGTTATGTATGATGCAGGTCGGAAGTTACATAACGATGTACTCATCCCCCATGATGACATTTGATATAATGTAATCACCTCCATGATGAGATCTGCTATGAGCACCCAGTCAGTTGAAAGGGAGTCTCCTCAAGGGTGTGGCTTGCTTCCAATATATATGGACTGGACGATCTGGCAAAAGTCTCTAGCTTTTTGTTCTCTCTGGATCCTCCATCTGGCTGCCATCATCTGACCTCCAATTCCTGGGAACTGAACCAGTGACCTGCCACACCAACTGCCAATCTTGGGATTTGTTAGTCTCTGTAAGTCTGTGAGCCAGCAGCCTGCTGATCTTGGGTTTCAGCCCCTGCAGCTACATGAGTCAGGAAAAGTCTCTAGCCTGACATTCTGACCCACAGACTTGGGACCTGCCAACTCTACAACTATATTCTTGGGATAAATCTCTCTATACATACACACAGATAAGCTTCACTGGTTCTGCTTCTCCAGAGAACCCAGACTAAGACACTTGCTGACTGGCATCAAACATAAACTAGGATAGCACATGTGGCATGCACGTACATTGCTGCTCCTCTGTATCGCTGGCAGATTTTGATTCCTATCATCACCTCCTATCCCAATGACTCCAGACACTGATTTATAAATAGTAGCCCAGGGAAATATTTATAATCTACGAGAATTGCAAGCCAGTAAAATATTCACCATTCCTGAATCAGAAAGCAAATATCTCCAAACTGGGAGTTTCATTCCTGACAATGGTCAGGTAATTTTTACCAGACTAACCCTCCTTTAAGAAGGGTACAGCAGTCCCTGGAGAAGGCTATTATGCTGGGTAAAGTAGAGGGTCAACTAAAAAGGAGAAAACCCTCAATAAGATGGATTGACACAGTGGCTGTGACAATGGGCTCAAGCATGGCAATGACTGTGAGGGTGGCACAGGACTGGACAATGTTTTGTTCTGTTGTACATAGGGTCGCTATAAGTTGAAACCAACTCAACAGCACCTAAGAACAACTCTCTTTTAAATAACAATGATCAAGTCTGGGTAAAATATAAAAAGACACAACGTGAAGACACTGCAGAGTGAATAACAGCAGGCAGAAACTGAAGAAGGGTCGAATAACACTGGATAAAATTCACACTTGTAGGTTTTATAAGAAGACTTGGTGGCTGTGATAGTTAGAGCCGTGTGTTAACTTGGCTGGACCACAATTCTGTGTGGTTTAAGCAATTGTGATATGGGTTGTTCCGATGATGGGATCAGATGTATATGTTTTGAGCAGCTAATCCATTGAAAGGGAGTTTTCCTAGGGGTGTGGCCTGCTTCCAATATATTTAGGGACATCCTGGGGAAAGAAACACTCTTCTTTCTGTGTATTGGGATCCTGTTGTGCTGGCTACAATTGTCCATTAGTGAACAATCCACCATTCAGCCTGAAGATCTTGGATTCGTCATTTGTTGGAGTCAACAGCCAGTATACTGCCTGCCAACCCTGAGCTCGTCAGCCCCTGCAGCTATGTGAGTCGGGAAAAACCTCCAGCTTGATGTTTGATCCAAGAACTTGAGACTTATCAACTTCTGTAAGTGTGTGAGCCATTTTCCTAAGAAAAAATTTCTCTTTCTCTGTATGTATATATAAGCTTTATTGTTTTTGCTCCTCTAGAGAACCCAGACTAACACAGTAGCCCAGTGCTTAAACACTTGGCTGAAAATCACACACACCAGTCATTACACAGGAGAAAGGTGTGGCAGTCTGCTTCCATAAAGATTTACAGCCTTAGAAACCATATGAATCAATTCTACTTCTTCTATGGGGTTGCTGAGTTGGAATTGATTTAACAGCAAGGGGATAGGTATAAGATTTTGAAATTGGTGACATGTTCCAAGCCACATGGTGCTAAGTGGTTAGAATTCAAGTAGAAATTCAGAATCTTCCTGGCATGAAGAGTGAGAAGATGAGATGTGGGGCTGCCAGAGTGGCTGGAAAGTGAGAGAAGCCTCCTAAGTGAGGGAGACACAGAAGGGAGAGTCCTCCAAATCAGCATATAAATAAACTCCACCTAAAACCTTACCTGACCCTCAAACTGTGCATGATAGATCCCAGCAAGAAGCAAGAGTTAGAAGTCTGAAAGAATGGATCCATGCCAGCTAATGATCACAGCAAGAGAGACAAAGTTTGGAATTTGAGTTCAGCCAAATTAGCTACCTGCTTTTTTTAAAAAAAAATCAATATTCTTCAGAAGAATCCATACTTTTCACAATTTAACACTCAAAATGCCTAGAATATATTGAAATATTACTGAACAAGCAATCCACTGTCAAGAGAAAAAACAGTCAATAGAAACTACTCAAGATTACCCAGATATTGAAATTGGCAGATAAGGAGCAAATAAATTGGCAGATAAATAGGCAAAGTAAATATAAGAAATATGATCATAATGAATGAAAAATTAGAAATGTTCAGTAAATAAATTAAGACTATAAAAATGAATCAAAAAACGAATGTATAAGAAAAAAATTCAAAAATAAGAAGACAGCAGCCTAATAAAAATGGACAGAAGATCTAAACTGACATTTAATGAGAGATATAAAAATAGTTAACAGGTACACAAGTGCTCAACCTCATTACTCAGTAGGAAAATGCAAATAAAAACAAGAGACACCACTACACACAGCAGAATGACTAAAGTTCACCAAATTCTGTTGAAGATACGGAGCAACAAGAACACTAATACACTGCAGATGAGACTGTAAAATGGAACAGCCATATTGGAAAAGGTTTGGCAATTTCCTATAAAGTTAAACATACACCTAGCCTATGAACATGGTTCCACTCAGAGATACTCACTCAAGAGATACAAAAACATATGTCTACAAAAAGAAAGCTATAAGCATTTCAGAGCAGCTTTATTCATACTAGCAAAAAACCTGAAGCAACCCAAATGTTCACTAGCAGAAGAATAAGTAAACCAATTATGGTACATTCATACAACTGAATACTATTCAGTAACAAAAAGGAGAGAACTGCAGTTAGCATGGATGAATCTCACAGGCATTATGTTTTATGAAAGAAGCCAGATATAAAAGAGTAATACTGTATTAGTACTGGCAAAAATAATGGTGAGAAAAAAATTAAAAAGTGGCTGCTGCCTCAGAAGGAGGGGACTGACTAGAATGGAGTCACAAGGGAACTTTCTTGGATGATGGAAACATTCTCTATCTTAATGGGGGTGTGGGTTCCATGGATAGGTAATTTATCAATCTCCAGTGAACTGAACATTTAGGATTTATATATTTTACCATGTGTAAATTTTACCTAAAAAATGTAAAGAAATATTAATTTTTAGTTTGCAGTGTGCTTTCCACAGCGGTGTGGATTTGCAATCCTAAAACTACTTTTTATATAGTGTAGGCTTGAGTAAACATACTGGGAATAGTAGAAGCCTGATTTCCCATTACTGAAGGGAGTTACAATTATGGAAAAGACAAGACTAGAATGAATCCTATAGTTTTAGACTAGAATTGAAGGTATCATATGAACTTACGGTTTTTTACACACATACACATGCACACACTCAAAGCTATTTCCTAGTTCTGGCCACTGAGAGGTACTAGACGTAATGACAAACCAGTAGCAATGACCATACTGTGCTCCCAAATCTTGTTTTTGCAGTATCATTGCCTCCTAAAATGAATCAGGGATCCTTAAGAAATGGTTCACTCCAGTGTTGATGTAAGGAAAGTACAAGATGAGCCTGGAACATCCTACTACACCCAAAAGGAAAGAAGGATTTGAAAAATAAGAAGGACACCATTAAAGGACACAGGAGCCACACCGATAAGAGTCTGAGGATCAAAATGAAAAGATAAACAAATAGAGAAAAGAAAGTTCTTCCTTTCTGTTGTTGCTGTTGTTATGTGCTGTCGAGTCGGCCCCGACTCATAGCGACCCCTCCTTGGGTTTCCGAGGCAGTATCACTACGGAAGTAGGATTGCCCAACCTTCCTTCCGAGGAGTGGCTGGTGGGTTTGAACCGCCAGCCATCTGGTTAGCAGGCAAGAATGCCTAATAAGAAATACAGAACAAATGATAGAATTAGAAAATCACCAGTGCATATTAAGCATATTC